AAGACACTGCTAAGTGTTGCTTGAGATAAAAAGATAGAACCGAAATGCTCGAGTCGAGATGGGCTGGTTCAGTGATGTTTGATGTGCGAGAAGAGGTTCCTTTATCAAGTCTTTTGGCAGTGAAGATACAACACTATTGCAATTGCACTTTATTGCATTAATTATTGCATTCGTATGATCTGATATTCTACAAGTACTCCGTAACACATCCGTCATCCCACGGTCAAGGCGGGGGGGAGAAGAAGGGGGGAGATACCAATCGGATGATTCGAAATATGTCCGAATTGCGAATGGATGGCACGATGGTCTGCGCAATCACGCACGGAGCACGGAGCAGAGATCACCAAGGTAGGGGCTTGTGTGGGGACAAGCAGTTATGTAGTTTGTTAGATGTGGCTGATAAGAGAGAATAAAGATGTCAGATGTCAGCCTACGAGTATTGACGAAGAGCGGGAGACACGTGCTACACAGTGAGCGAGATGGTGGTGTGAGCTGGAGGGGAGAGACTCGAAGTGGTGGTGGTGTGACAACCCTGGAGCCCGGGGGCAGCTAGCTCAGCTGGTCCAGGTACCGCTAATGGTACTTTTAGGTATCATTATTACTTACTAGTGACCCTCGGGGATTTAACGGGGCCAACTTCGGGGTCGGAGTCAATCTCTTAATGAGTAGCCAAGTAGCCAAACTCGCCAAGCACTCGTATTGGTAGTAAAAGTGGCAGGCCACGTCTCGGGCCTCGCGGCAACCATCAAACTTCACCCATCACAGCATCTCGGACAAAGTCTGGACTTTACGAACTGACTCACTTGAACCGCGCAGATCGTTTCCAGGGGGATTTGCATCCTTCTTCTTACTCCTTACTATGATACAGCGCCAGAGTACGAGTGCCTAGTTGCACAATGACGAAACCATCTACAGTCCTTGTTCCTCTCGCAACAAGAATGGCCATGGACGCCTTACTCGTACTCAAACTGCGCAGTTTACCTCATACACTGCCAAACAAAGAGGAGGATGAGGTTGAACGATGGCCACCGCGGGTCATCTCTATCTACTCGTACATCTCGGTCACTACCAAACTCTGCGTTCGGCAAGGCTGATCTGGTGCCCCGAACTCGGATCGAGATCGATTAATATTCACGATAAACTTCTTCTACTTCTTCCTCTTCTGGAGAGCCTCCAGGTCTGTACAAAGTAAAGCCCAACCACCTTAAACCAATTCCAGCCTGAGATTGCACATTTGGCTGTCGTGGCTGTCCACTCCCCTGGTCAATATGCCGAAAATGGTCATCATGAGCCGCTTACTAGTAGTTCGCAGGCACTACAACCAAGGTTTGACGCCAGGTGAGTAATATACTCTACTTGTATCCTCTGACTGAGGCACCCTAAGGCCTAGGCCTTTGGGCCTCCTTTTCGCTTCGTCCCTTTGGGCTATCCACCTCCCGATTTGCTACCCACTCACCGCCCACTTGGTAAGTGGTAGGATCGATCACCCGCTGTCGAGCCGTACCAACTCGGCCTGCCACTCGCTCGATCGACGGAAATCATATCCACGCCCAATTCTTACTCGTCAGCTCCCCCAGCACGGGTTGGTGGTGAGGGTAATTCGCCGCATTGTCAGACCACATGTGGCGCAACGATTCGAGACCTTTTTCGCACTATCCCCCTTGCAGCCATATGAAGGGTTTCCTGATTTCTCTCGCCCAGCAGGTAACACGCCCATACCATTGCGGGGAGGGGGCGCGGGCAGACAAACCAGCAAAGTGTGTCTCCCAAGTCACGCAGTGGCTAAGACCACCACACAGCAAGGCTTATTACTATGCAAGAGGAATTGCCAACCAGTCTCTACATTTACGTTCTTTTGCCTTTACTGTCTATCGGTTTCTTAGAAGAGCTGCTCAAAAGCGAAACAAGACCCATTTTCCGATCGATCTGATTCCTTTTTTTAAAACCAACCCCCCCTTTTTTCTTATGCCAAACAATGTCGCGCGCTCTCGGTTTCAGTGGGAGCCCGTCTCCTACCTCCTTGGCAGAAGCGTGCAAACTAGCATGGCACACCTTCTATGGTATGCAAAAAGCGTCTGAAGACTTTGAAAACCTTCGCTTCGAAGTCTGGACCATTGCCATCAGCCTCGACTCGTTACACAGCGTCGGGAGCACCTCGCTCCTCATAGATCGACAACCAGACCACAAACGATGGGCTCTGACATTTTCCAAAATTTTGACTTCGTTGAACGCCGCCTTGCGGCCGTTATACAACCTGGTCAAGCTGTACCTGTCCACCTCGACCAGAGATCGCACCGCCGTCAAGCAATGGCTCACCAACACCGACATGAACTACGAGGGCCTCACCGTGCAGGATTTTAGGAGGAAATTGTCCATGCTGGTCGAGAGTCTGAATGTGTTTCTTTCCAGCCTGACCCACGCCGAACTCACCCGCGCCCGAGCTGCCAGCGAAACCGAAGAATACAGAGTCCTGTCCGAAGTCACCCGAAACGTCCTACAGAAATGGGATCAAAGCAGAGTCACAGGGGCGTCCCACGATTCGGACCGGGCGATCAAATCCATCGAGACCGTCACCTTTGTCAGTGACAACTCAAAGGAAAACAACACATCCTCGACACGCGGGGATTCGACCCGGCCGAGAACGCAGGACGAGTACCCCACCCTTTGGCCAACCCACCAGAGACCCGAGTATCACGGCGGTCCAGGTGGCCACGCTGCGGAGGCGTTGAATTTGGACGGCATTGAAACGGGGTTTCGCAAGCACATGAATGCCATGCGACGGATTCGAGAACAGCTTCGCCTACAAAAGGAGAACGAGCACCACCTCACGGAGCAGAAGTCGAGCCATTTCCCCGAAGTGCACGGTGAAGTGCCCATCACCCCAATCACGCCCTCGCACCACCGCACCATGCCCGAAAACGCCACGGCCGCCTTGTCAGAGCTGGCTTCGGATCATGGATATACGTCGAGCAGTGGAACCAGCTCCGCGCAGACCTCCGAGTCTGGCAGTGTGATTTCAGGGGCGCAGGAAGAGAATAGGCCGAGAAGTCCCGCAGGAGTTGGAGGGGGACCACCGCCACCGACGACGGCCAACCACACGCGCTCGTCGTCTGGCGAACTTGGGCGGAAGAGGGTGCGGACGCAGGACCTCCATCTCGCCAACGACAGCGACGATTGGCAGAGACATCGGCGACCGCGGAAAACGGCGCTGGAGGAAATGCTCACGGCGGCCTTATTCTTCGACAGTTGAATAACAAAGACGAAAGGCACGGCGTCGTAGTGAGTGGGAGGAGGGGAAAACAGCAAGGCTAGAATTGAAAGGGGCAGTGGGTCGTGACGACCTTGCTACCTAGTGGGTGTTTTCGTGGATTGGGGGCGCTAATTCGCAGATATTTCACAGATATGACGGGAAAATGATATCAGGTTTGTTTTTATCCACATTGTCCCGGCGGTATTTGGTTTCGGGTCGAGTCGTCAGCAATCACTTGGGATGGGAAGGGATGGATTAGGTTGGATTTGGATCGGTTGGTGTCATGTCGTTACGTTGGATTGGGTTGGGCCGGGCTAGTTGGCACATTTGATTCCCGGACTTCGCAGCACCTTTTCATCACACACACACACACACACACGCACACGTACACGAACACGAAACAAATACACACGCACGCACCTTTCGGGGTAGAAACAGGACTGACTGGACCTCTCTGTTGTCTTACGAGGAAGGCACAAACAGCCACGACACGACGGGATTTGACGAGAAAAACAAAAAAGCAATATGAGAGGGGCAGAGGAGGGGAGGAAAGGGGGGAGGTATATTACTACATATCCTACGTATAACTAGCCGACTAGCCATGACTAGGTATCTAGGTATGTAAGTATACCAGCACTGGGACATATATATATACCCAGGCAGGGGAAAAAATGGTAATGATGACAAAATAAAAATCACAATCAATGGATACATACAACTTTCACTCCTAGGTAGTTGTAGGTAGGTAGGTATGTAGGTATGTAGGTATGGAGGTAGGTAACTCCATACTCCATGTGCCCGGAAGCCTCGTCATGCTTCGTGCTTCATGCTCTAACTCCATTACCTCGTACTTGAACTTGAACTTGGGTACCGGTATCTGGACCTGTTTCTGTACGTGTACTTCAAATAACTAATGTATTATGGTCACGCGCACAGTGGATGTACTGAGTGCAGATAGATACCTAGGTAGGTATATCGTATATTTTGATATCAGTACTGGAAAACTCAGGTCTGTGGACTTGCACTTATACTGCCCTTGTACTGAGGACCGAGACAGCCGGGGTCTGTACGAGGCAAGTACTGGTTTCCTAGGTTATCTTTTAACTTGTTCATTAGTACATTGCGTATCATGTAATATCTAATACCTGGTATTCGTGTGGCAGTTGTCGACATTATGGCCACTGGATCTATCCTATCTACCGAGTAACATAGCTAGGTCTTTGTTTATCTGTATCTCTGTATCTTCTTCTGGCTTGTGGCCTTGTCTCTTGTGCCTTGCGACTTGTGTGTGTGTGTGTCATGATATTGTGGATTTCTCTCGAAGGGTGTTAGTCAAAAAGACTCGGACTCTTCAGCATTAATGTCGTCCAGGTCCTCGGTGCACGTACCCATGTACATGTAAAGTCATGTACCCATGTGCCCATGTACTCGTGGCCCTGTGCAGTAAAAGTAGCCTGTACCCTGTACCCTGTGCCTTGTACCCATGGACCCCGACGCCGTGGCCTGCCTCCCCTGAAGTCCCGTCCAATGAATTAATATCCCCGGGATCCGTTGCCAATCCACCAAACCCGTGAGCCTGTTTGCTGATAACGCATCAGGTGAAAATACTTGTCGTGATAAGTGTCGGTGCTTTGAATGGCCAATCTGGTTCTGACATGACATGCATGAGCTGGCTCGACTAGACCAGGTCAGCACTCCCACTCGCATGGGTTCCAATCAGATCTGATCTCATCGATCCTGGTCTCCTTTCTCAGGCACGTCCACCTTTCTTGGAGTCTTGCCATTGCTTCCACATTTGCTCGTAGTTGTCGAACCACGAGGCGCCGTAGTTGTGCGGTTGGTGTGCGGCCTGGTATTGCTCAAACTGTAGTCTCTGGTTGTTGAGATTCTCGAACCAAGAAGCGCCATAGTTGTGCGGTTGGTGTGCGGCCTGGTATTGTTCAAACTGCACTCTCTGTTCATTGAGGTTCTCGAACCACGCAGCTCCGTAGTTGTGCGGTTGGTGTGCTGATTCGTATTGCTCCCTCTGGTTGTTCAGATTCTCAAACCACGCGTCGCCGTAATTGTGCGGTTGGTGTTGCGACTCGTACTGCATTCTCTGTTCATTGAGATTTTCAAACCAAGCAGCTCCGTAGTTATGCGGTTGATGTGCAGCTTGGTACTGCTCGAACTGCTCCCGCTGGTTGTTGAGATTCTCAAACCACGCGTCGCCGTAGTTGTGCATTGTCTGCATATTCATCGAAGATGTGCTGCTGGTGTTGGGGGTGTGTATTGTTGACGATGCCATAAAGTAGGTTGTGTTGGTGTGTTTAGCTGTTTAGCTGCTATTGAGCTTTGATCGATGTGAGTGTGTCAGTGTGTCAATGTTTGGTAATCTGTTTGTGTGTGGCTTGGTACAAAAAACATAAAGGGGGGAAGGAAAAAGCAAAGAAAGCCCTCTTATACTCCCTGGTATAAAGTGATTCCACAAACCCTCATCAGATGTTCCATAATTGCTCATGTCTGTAAAGCCTCGTCTGGGGCGGCAACGGCGAGACCCGAGCCACAAAACAATGCATGACCATTGACCGTTGACCCCCAAAACCAACGAGATCCCGTTCACCAGCGGAGCGGCCAAGAAGGCGACACGTAGATCCCCCTCGACAGTCAGCATTATTGACGGGCATTGGGTGATGGGACGCCGATCATGCTTGAACGTGGACGCGCGGTTTGATAGTATTTGCTCGCGGTGTTCCAGAATCGAGGGTGTAAGGGCTTAGCAAAAAGTGTATCGGACGAGGCATGTACCGCAGAGACTTGGTGTGGTACATGGTACTCGGTACATGAGGTGTATGGAGAGGGAAAAAGGTGACGGTCACACCACGGGGGAGTGGGTGGGCACGTGGCTTTTACCCAGAGAGACATTCCGGGCGAGAAAGGATCGGGTTGGGGGGGTGGGGGGTACACACCTAAGGTCGGTGAGGCTCTTCCTTGATGCCCTGATAATGCCAATAATGCCTAATAATCCCTCGTTGGATCCCTAATTGCTCCGTTATAGGACAAATGCAGGGTCACCCATCACCCATCACCCACCCAACGCCCCCCCACTTTGGCATGGTTGTGGCCTGGAACAGATCGCCAACACCGCCTGGAGAAGTTGCTCATGAGCGCTCACACCACTACCTCCATACTACTCATCCACTGTGGTTGTAAGCCTTGTGTTGTTGCCTCGTGGCCAAGCCGAACACATCACACTCCTGTCGTGCCTCACTTCGATTTGTCTTCTTGGCTTGCATACGAGCCCAAGCCTGATGATGCAGGTCCCTGACTTTGTCAGCCTTGTACTCGTTACCCGTCACTCGATATACTCGCGCGGATTTTATGCTACAAGTTCGAGTGAAAGAAATGGACCACTCAAAAGAAACAAAAATTAAACACAACCAGGGTATATTCAACCAGTTACATACAACGAAACGACCAAACTCGCTCGAAGAAGCTAGTACTGATAAAAAGACCCGATCAAACTCGACTCCTAGTTATTTGCGAGGCAGAACGGACAGAAAGAGAAGTGGGTCAATGACTGGCTGTTCTTGTATGATACGACGTGTTTTTGATCCAGTATCCCTGCGTTTACCGGGAGTTCATTAAGGTAATGGCTATTGTGTGTTTGTGTGTAGATGTGGGAGATGGTCCTTCTGTTACTCTGTCTGATGGTGGCTGCCACGAAACAAAGGCCATATGGAGAAAAGGAGGCAGTCAAGTTTGTCGTAACACAAGTCGCCCAGCGAACGTTACTCTTTTCCATGTTGTAATCTCCCCAAAAGAGCGCCGGGTTCCTTCTTGTATGCTGGTCCAAACCCCCCAATGCGGCCGTTTCCAAGTAGTACCTGTACCACTCTGCACCGGAGAAATTTCACGGTGGTCTCCAAGTTTTCTCCAGGTATCGAATTCACTGCAGGATGCCTTTCAACCCCCCCCCCCCCCCTCGTCCAAGCAGAGCACCGCTTTACACGGGCGGCATGGCCATCGGCGGCAGACCGTACTCGTATGCCGTGTAGATACCAATGGGGCACTCATCCTGGTCCTGGAAGAACCAGAAGTTGGTGTCGTTGGTGTAGGTCATGCCGGCAACGCACGTCCCCGCGCCCACGAAGCAAGGGCCGACATCAATGGTGTAGGCATTTCCTGGTTCCATGTGGATAGCCGGGAATGGAGGGAATGGTCCCGGAGCGGGCTGGTTGTTCCACGTCGTCTCAGGTCCCGGGCAGCTGCCGGGGTTGTACCCCGTGAAGAAGAACGAGCCAGCACCCTCGTACTCAAAGTTGGACGTCTTGAGCTGCGACTTGAGAGGGAAGATGAACTCCAGCGTGCAGTTGGCGTCGGCGCGAGAAGCGGGCACGTCGAAGCTGAAGATGGAGGCGATGTCGTTGGGAGTAAAGACGCCGTTTAGCTGGGGTCCGAAAGCCTTGTCGGGTTGCGACTTGGAGATCTGCGTGATGTAGTGAGGGAATTCGAATTGGCCAGCGGTGAGTTCGGCAGGACAGCCTTCGCGCGGCGCGAGAGCACGTTTGCGCAGGACTTCTCCCGGGTAGGCGGCGGCCAGACCGGCCAGCAAGACAAGAGCTGCTCCGGTTCTCATGTTGAAAATTGTGAATCTGGTATGTTGTGGGGGTCAATGACAAGATGTCCAAGAAGGACACGTAAAAATGCTGGAAGATAGGGGGTAAATTTGTCAAAGCGAGAGATATGTGTAGCGAGCGACTGTAGCGAACGACGGTATGTATGTCAAGACAGAGAGAGAGAGTACTCAGGTATAACAAACCAGCAGAGAAGCAAACAGAGGTCCAAGTGGGCGTCAAAGCATATAATAGCACCGTGTATGGGAGATTGCGCCTGGTACCACTGGGGATTACTACGGGCCAACAGTTTCCCTGCTAGCTACCAGGAATTGGGGATAGGGCACAAACAAACATGCCACCACTGTAACCACGCCTCCAGTGACGCAGGGGAGGACAGCACGAGGCTGAGCACCGTGGGATCCTGCTGCTTGCGGCAGTGACACGCCAAACAACACCCTTTGAACCAAAGTCTATTGAGCAATTTTTTGAGCCCACTCCCACAGCAGCATTGGTGAGACACGGGCCAGGGAGGCTAGCCTGTTGACCAGAGGTTCCAAAACCACGATGTGACCTACCACGAAACGGCGTTGGTGTCAGTCGACAATGAGGTTGCCGCGTGAGTGGCTGAGTCCGCGACGGTCTGGATATCCGGGAGCTGGGACAGGTGGAGGTAGGAGAAAGGCAATATTCTAGCTTCTCCATGTGAATCTCATGACCGTGTCTCATTCGTAGAGGTGGATAAGGGATCTTCACGCGGTTAATTTAACCAAGCGAGAGTGTTTTGCACTACGAGATCAAGCACCAAACTGCCAGTTGCTTGTGCTCGTCTTCGCCCTCGTGGTCGTGTTCCCCGTCGATGTTATCCCAACTGTACCGAGTACTCGGTAGTTCTCCCATTGCAAAGCTCTTTAGACCCTCCAATATAACATTTTCCATCAAAACAAGGTCGTCTTGGTGGATTATTGTGTCGTAGGAGTTGTCGTGTCGTCGCGTAAATTGCAGGGCCACGGGGTAAACGGCCACAGGGCCAAGCTTCCATCGGTTGCTTGCTCATCTGTCCTGCGGTTAGTGAGAGCTGCTCCACTACAAGGGAAACGATCTCGCCTCGCGTCGATTGCGCAGGATTGGATGCACGATTGGAGCACGCCACCGATTGAGGTCCCGGATTAGGCCTGTCCCTAGAGGCTGTGTACAAAGTTCTCGTACTGCGCACCGTGAATCCCGGAAACCCACGCAACGGCAGAAACAATCCCAACTCTGCGGAATGGGTCAACTCGTCGCCGTGTCGCAAGCGGAAAACAAACATCTTCAGTGCGCGAAGATTCAGCTGTGAAGCAGAGGCTGAGGTACAGAAAGAGGGAAAAGATCGCCACAACATGACAGTTAAACTTCAAGTCGAGACCCTGCGCCCCCAGAAGATAGCACCAGAGATGGCAAGCAGATGCGAAAACATGCGGCCATGCGAGTAGAGCGGATGTCGTGCAGGACATTTGCTGAAGTCAAAGAGTATTCGATAGGCGGCTGCCATGACAGATATGGGGCTCATTGAGTCATTGTCAAATGATCGATGGGAACCCAGTTTGCCAGGCTGTCTCAAAGCAAACAAAATGCGTGTTATTACCAGTGAATGCTCCCTTTGGGGTCATGCAAACAAAGACTCACGAATCACCTGCACCATCCAGACTCTGCCCACGTCTTTCGGATCTTGAGCTCGATTGTCGACTCTGTATTTTGGATATTGTTTTCATGTCCCATCCACCGTCTCTCATTATTGCGGCGCGCCTTTCTCACATCAACGCATACAGGTCAATTTCCATTCCAATGTGCCTCGTATCGTTCTAACCAGGGCTCTCCCGTCGACACTCTAGCCCTATCATTCCATCATGCGCATAGAATCACTCGCCAAACCTAACCAGACTCCGCGCTCCAAGAACCAAATCTCCCAATTCCTTCGGCATCATCCAGATACCAATACAGGGGCAGGTTGCTTCCTGCCCTCGGCAAGCGATATTAAATCCACATCACACTGCAGACCCCATCGATCCGCAAATCCCTCACACACCTCCTGACATGTCCGTGCCGCCTGTCTCTCCCGACACCTTCGATCCCAATCCCCTGCCTGTATTAACAGAATGCTGTTCTCCACCAGCTCTTCCTCGAGTGACATGTCCTCCACCATGTCACGGACCGACTTGAGCTTCCTGGTTGCAGCACTGGCAGCGAGCCGCGACTCTTGAAGCAGATCGGTCAGCGAGCGCAGAGTGTGGGTGAGTTCGTCGGTTTGCGATGCCAGGATTTGGAGAGAGAGCAGTGGGTTCTGTGGGCGAAGGAAAGGGAGCGTTGAGGATAAGCTCGTGATGTCGTCTAGGAGTAAGTCGACCATCTCCTCTGGCACTTGCCATAGAGTCCCTCCGTACATCAGGGAGTGCGACTGCGAGAACAGATCTCGCGTCTTGTGTGTTCGGTGAGTCGCCATCGACGTATATGCTGTGATCAACTGAGTGACCCCGTACTCAATATTGGCCTGCGGACCAAGATCCTTAAGCCCATGGATGACTCGCCGCACAGTACCACCACCCTCACTGACTGCGTCTTCGGGGTTGACGCACATGCGTGTCAAGTTCTCGATGTCGCGGATTCTTTTGCGTAGTATCGGTGGGATGGCATCGTCTTCCTCGTCTGCCTCTGAGTCCGGGCCGTAATCTGAGCCGTCGTAAGCAGACTCGTGTCTCTGATGTCCAGGCTTTTTGTTCTCCCGAGTTTGTGAATTCCGTCGAGACGGGGGGACGCGTAGTGTGGAAGACGACCCATCATATTGGCCATGCGGGCTCTGTACGACCATCCCAAAGCCAAAATCATGCATGTCGTTCACCTCGTACGGGCTTCGCATGTCGCGGACCATCGAGGAGTCTTGGTCCACCTCGCCTTCTCGTAAACCCTCGAGAAAGTTGGAGTGGCCCTCGCCCTCCTCTTCGTCGTCCCAAGCCTGCTCTAGCTCGTCGGCCAAATTCCCAAGCCCGTTGCTGTCACCGTACGGCTCTATACTTCTGTTACTGTTTATGCTTGTCCGGCTCGGCCTGCGCTGTTGGGAGAATGACGGAGGTCTGGACGACTTGGAGGACATGGGGCGAGGTGTCACCGGGGACCGAGGCTGGTATGAAGTCTGCGAGGTCCGCGATGACCTCCTCGAGTACGCTGTGCCATTGGTGGTCCCGCTGGTATAGGGACTTGGAGATGTTGCGTCTTGGGATTGTATTTCGACACCAGAAAGTCGCAGCGACCTGCGCTTTCGCGAGGGCGTTGTCGGGGAGGTCGGTGGAGATAGGGCGGTCATCCTGCCTTTCCGCGTGTTTAGGCCTGCAAAGGTGGAATATGGTTGACTGCAAGGTTGTCTATGCTCGTCTAAACGAAGAAAGCTGTATCATAGAATTGAAAGCATGTTCCGGATGCTCTAATTGTGTGTGTTGAAAGTACTTGCTGTTCGGACAACTGTGTACCAAAGCAAAGTCAAGGTCGACCCGACCGTATTATTTTGGCCCGCGAACCGGCGGGCTTGTTGGAGAGCATCTCGCGGGACGGCGCGTTTCGTCGGAGTCACAGATTCCTCCCCACAATCACCAACAAAGTCCTCGAGAAAATTGATGCTTCGCACCCGTGACCCTCAGCTCGACCAGACAGCAATGCTCCTTGCAACAAAGAAATAAGTTGCCATGCCGACCATCCGCAGAGTCCAGCCGTCGGACTTGTTCCATCTGAATCTGTGCAACCTCGACCCGTACACGGAAAACTATGACCTGAACTTCTATCTGACATATCTCATGAGATGGCCTTCGCTGTTCCAATGCATCGAAGAGCACGGCCAAATTGTCGGCTATATCATCGGCAAAGTGGAGTCGTCGCCTGCTCATTTGAAGTAAGACACCATCTTCCCTTGCGAGCCCAACAAAGAGTCCCTGACAGATATTTCTTACAGAGGAACGCCACATTACTTACCGTGGCATGGCCACATCACGGCCCTGTCCATAGCACCGCAATATCGGCGGCTGGGGTATGGGAAACTTCTCAGCGAGTCACTTGAGAAGGCTTGCAACCAACAGGACGCCTGGTTCGTCGACCTCTTTGTCCGAAGGAGCAACAAAAACGCCATCAAAATGTATCAGAGCATGGGCTACTCGACGTACCGCACTGTGGTCAGGTATTACTCGGATGATCCAACTGGAGTCTCGAAGGACGGAGAGGATGCGCTAGACATGAGAAAGCCTCTTGATCGGGACAAGGACCGAGTCCATGTCAGGGAGAACGGGGAGAGTTTCAAGGTCGATCCGGAGGATGTCTTTTGAGGTGCTGGCACGATGATGAACGACCAAGACAACAAGAGATGAATGATGAACGACGGCCAAGTGTCGAAAACGACTACTATTACCATTCCCATATTTTGATGCTCCCCGTACTGCCACACCCATTCTCCGCTGCCCTACACCTCTTGCGGTCAGTATCACTCTCCTCCGCCAAGGTTCCTCCCCAGGTCTCCACTCACAAAAATCACAGGGATATATTTTATGTCTGCGCAAATTTGGTCAACATATAAACCCAGAAGTGGGCAAACAGCGATATAAAGAGACCTTCATAAAAGCTACCACTTCGAGTCCAGGGGATATGTGTCCGAGATAAAAAGGATTCACATTCTATCGGGTTTGGCGGGCGGGGCCTTTCCCCCTCGGTTGATGGATGGTATGAGCTTCGCTGTTGCCAATAGGTAGCAGAAGGTCTCAGGCCATATCATCCATCAACCCTTCCACGGTAGCCCCTCCTATGGGTACTGTAGCTTCAACTGGGGCTACAGTGCCCATAGGGGACTACCGTAGGAGACAACTGGTGATCCCTCCAAGGAGAGGGACCAGTTGGGAGGGGGGAAGGTAAGATAGACGCCAGACCTAGGAATTTGAATCTTTTTGCCATCTGAAATGACTGGGTGTCAATTTTTTTTGGTTTTTTTTTTGTTTTTTTGGATTTTCTTTGACTAGTGGGATGTATACACTGTGGATAGCTAAATGAAGTAGCTCTACATGTATTTCCCCTACCCTTCCTGTATCTTCCCTAGGCCCACCCCTTCACTCTTCCCCGGATTCCTATCCAAATCATTCGGTCCGAAACTCATCGGTAACAGCTCCCCAATGGTCATACGTACCACCTCCCCCTCCACCCCGTCCTTGCCGTACATGTAGATCGGCAGGTCCCGTGAGGTGGCGAACTCGTTGATAAACTGTCGACACATCCCGCAGGGGGAGGCCGGCGGGAAGATGTCCGTGGCGACCCCGATGGCGCGGATGATGGGCATGTCTGGACGGGGCATCGAGGCCACGATCGGGGCGATGGCGCACCGCTCCGCGCAGATGCCCACGGGGGTGGCAGCGACTTCGACGTTGGCGCCCGTGTGGAATGTCCCATCCGAGAGGAGAACAGAGGCGCCGACACGGAAGTTGGAGTACGGGCCTAAGAAGAAGATGGGTGGCAGAGTCAACAGATGACCCATCTGGACAAACGTAGGGTAGAGGGGTGATGGCCGGAGAAATAGCGGCCGGGCAAGATTCTCTTCATTCAACCCAAAAGTAGGCCATGTTTCTTCTCTTCTTCGGGGAACAGGTAGGTCAGAGCCGACGGAGCGCGCAGCAATTCAGTGCTTAGGCCTTTCTTCGCTCTGATTCTTTGCTTTGTGTTGTCACTCACAGTATGCTTTCGCCTTGGCCCCAATTGCCAAGTTGGCCAGCTTGTTCAATTCATCCTGAGATAAGGGCACGAGAGTGTTGTTCGCCATGTTAGTGACACTTATGGTCTTGATATCGTGTATTGGAATTGCCTCTCAAAGTGTGACACAGCGGAAAGAGTGCATTAACTTAATATTTTACAGAGTTGTGGAGGATAAAATGGTACGAGGTCGGCAATGGCAGCCTTGCCAAGAGTTTTGAGGATTCCGCAGCCTTGCGTACCAGGAGACCAGAGGGAGTTTCTGTCGCTATATCAGCTCCTACAACCTCTCGATCCTAGCCACATGGGTCCGTCACGACCAGTTCAGTTGCTAGCTGCTAGCTGCTAAGTGCGTAGTTCGAGACCCATGTCCTTCCTCAGTCCGGGTCATGGGCTTCCTTTTCCCCTTGTCGGCTCAATCAGTGGCAGCAACTTTGGTGTTGGCATCAAAATAATGTCGCTCATGCACTCCCGGATGTACACGAAGCTGTTCCAGGGATTCTCCCACGTGTCAATGACATAATGTGGCAGATCCAACGAAGTCCATCCAACCACCCCCCGCAATCGGGCCTGCAACGCGAGTGTTGTCTTGCCGAATCGGTTGGGGTCTGATCCGTCCATTCTATATTTAGTCGCGAGCAGATCAAGAAGCATCAGTTTCTCATCTTTCGTCGGCTTATAAACCACACCACCAGCTTTCGAGGCCTTTTGCGGCGCGTCATTGGGAGCGTCGACACCTGGAGCCACCACCACCGTCACGAGATTGTACTCGGGTGAGAGACGGTTGATTGCTTTCTGGACCCGATAATCTTGATCTGGCGTCGTGGCGCCGTTGGAATCGGCGCCAAAGACATCACCACCTGTGTCTACTATGAGAACAGTCTCTATTGGACGCCGAGCCTGATCCAACACAGCATGAAATTGATCGGTAAGATCGGCCTTGTCGTCCTCGGAGATCTGAGACCTAGATTCGCCCTGGTCGAGGACCATAAATATCTGGGAATGATAGGGGAGGGGAATCGCTTCGAGATCGCGGCCCTCGGCTGTAGTGTCATTTTTCACTCGAAAAGTTCCAGCGACAGGTCGCCCGTGCGCTTCCACTGCTCCACCGTGATTGTATACCTCACGCTTGATCCCCAACTTTGACCCTTTCTTGCCTTGAGACCCCGTCGCCCAGGTTCGCGTCGAGACCAAAAGATCCATTTGCTTCTTATGCTGTCGCAATAGGTGCCCCAGCAAACTTGCACTAATGATATCCGAGCCTCCACCCCCACCGATACCGGCATACTCATGGCTAGGCCACTGCTCACCGGGTAACAGATCGGAAAGAGAATGCAACGGTGACAGGTTGTCGAAGGACATAGGATGGACAGGCTTCCACATGGCTCGTAGTGGCGCCACATCATCAAAAGTGGTTTCCAGCAATATTTGGTCGTCAACAACCTCCTTATGCAACCCAATTTGATCAGCAAGAAGTCGCAGATCTACACACGGATTTCGTCTGAAGCCCTCGTAAAGAATTTCACCTTTCCGGGCAGCGGCGATCTCTCGACACAAAGCAACATGGCATTCATCGTAAACCCGGGCCAGGGTGAAAAGAGCAAGTTTGAGAGATAACCGACGGAGCGCTTTCATCAGTTGATCTTCGCCAAGAAGTCGACATAGCGGTCGAGCAGTAGTTGGATGGACGGTGTTGATATACTGTCGCCGCAGGACTGTGCGCACATTTCGAGATCCTGTGGCGTAGACTCGCTCTACGTCGTCCGCGAGATGCTGGAGACGAGCCGCAAGGTTGGATATGAGGGTGTGGTCGACATCGTCGGCAGCTTGCACCATGGCCGTTCATCGGACCAATCTAAGACGAAGAGACGCGAAACCGGTGGGTTAGAGGAGAAATTCGGACGCAGGTGGCTTCCACAATGTAAAGTGAAGTGCTTTGAGTATGCGACGAAGAGGAGAGAGACAATGAAGTCCAAACGCGACATGTACGAGGTAAAGGTGATGGGAATCGGCGGTGCTAAGCCACAAAACGGGAGGGATGACTACTCCACGCATTAGACGGGGGCAAAGGGGGCAAAGGGGGCCATGAGGGCCATCACTTTCCCATGGTGTGTGAAGGGTTGCCAAAGGGGGGGAGGCCAGGCTCGGAAAACGCAGGCTCGTGACTGGCTGAGTGGCTTAAATGCGCCGAAGTTCCTTGCAGGGCTTTTGGTCAAGTTGTCACAGAGGTCGGAATGGCTGCCTATCTGACCTCTGGGAGTCATTTGAAATCCCCTGCCCGTCAACAAATTGGCCATCGTACAAGAAGAGGTTGAGGTGCCCCATTGACGAAATGGTGTTTTCTTTTTCCTGGGAGGGTTGGACAGGTCTGTCTGTCTGAGCAGCTGAGATGACAGTATTAGCATGAGAGCTAGGGAGACCAGGAATAAGCAAACTGCGGCCTCCATCCAGCTGACTCTCACAACCAACTCTGAACGATGAAGAGTTTAATGCCTTGTCAGACACAGACCGGAAACTTGCCGCTGCTTTTTCCGCCGTTCTGTCATGTGCGTGCGACCGTTCCAGCGGCAAGCGGCTAGTGCCGTCTTGGCTAAACTGGGTCTTGGCAGACTTGTCAGGGAACTTTGGTCAGCCGCATCTCGAACCTCATTTCTTCCCATCTCTAACCCCTCCTCTTGTCTCGTGCTACTTACCTATTGAGTTCAACGCCCTCAACGGCCCTTTGGTGTTCAACTTGTTCTTCCGTGCGATATAGCCTCGTGTGAAGACTAAGCCCGCTGAGCCTCCTTTGGATTTGTCTTTCTGATTTAGTGCTCGATCCGCCCTTCTCGACCTTTTGCCTCCCCCATCAACTCTATGACTCCGCAATCGTGCACAACTAGCAATTTCTGAATTGATGGCATCTCCTGGTAGAGACCAGAGGCGCGCTCCCTCGGGAGCTGACTGGGAGAGGTTTCGACCGATCTTCACTCACCTGTACCTCGAAGACAATCGTCCTCTGCCTGAGGTTATGAAGATCATGAGGGAGCACCATGGATTATGGGCAAGGTGAGTTCCGGCCCTAGACAGTGTCATTCTGGTACTAAACGTAGTCCCTCAGTGAGAAGATGTATAAGAACAAGATCAAACAATGGGGTTTGCGAAAGTACCTCAAGGAGGGCGAGGCTAAGCAGATCATGGAGGGGGAGGTCCCGAAAACCAGCAGAGACTTGGATCTGGATTCCCTGAAGAGGAAAGCTGAACGTGCGTTGAAGCGGAAACGGAGTCGCAAATCATCCCAGCCACAAGCTTCTCCTTTTGCCTCAGAGTTATCACCAGCAGCCTCGTCGCCTCCACCTTCTCCAGCTTCTGAAGCGGTAGTGCCATATTCAAAGCCAACAGAAGCACTACAGACTATTGTCGTTCCGTCGCCCGAGGGATTTCGTATTGCCAGTGTCGCCGAGCAATTCCTGTTCAATCTACGTGGCTGGACACATGATGCATTTGTCCACGGTGATTGGGATGTTATGTCTTCTAACCAGCATAACCGGGGGCGCCAGGCATCGCGGCTCCTATCATCGAGTCTAACCGCAGGGATCAATCTTTTCGAGAATGGGAAGCAGGACCTCGCATGGGCACAGTGGGGAAAGGCCTTTGCAGGTTTCCAGAATTCCGAATTGTTCAAGTCCTGGTATTACGAGATACCGATGGCCCTACTTTTCGAAGTGGGTCGGGTGGCTTTCAGTGGCCACCGGCAGCTTGCCCAATTGCTCTTGAAAAGTGTCAGACGATGGGCGCATACATTTTTGGATCCAAAAGATTCCCGCCATGCCCTCTTCAGCGTCTTCGGCGAACTTGAGGTTGAACAGCTACGAGACCTATACCCCCGTGCTGCCCGCTCTATGTACGACGGTCTCAAGACGCGAATCGACAAGCGTAACAAGCTCTTGTACGAGGTTCGACTTAATCGAGCTCTGGACCTGCTATGGTACGATCCAGACACAGATCTGACAGAATGGCTACCACAGATCTCAGAAGTTGATGCCGTGTCTCCTGGGCTTTCCGTCTACTTTATGCTCCTGCAAGCTTACAGACTTGTCGCCCAGGATCAATATGATGAAGCCGAAGAGATCTGTTCCCAAGTCCAACGGAGATTGACGACCTTGCGAGAGATTCCAGGAGGCATAGATCTCTGGCGGGTAGGACTTGCTTATCGCAGACTTGGGCGACAACAACATGCCAAGGGGCGCTATGCAGATGCACGCCGAAGTTTCAACACAGCACTAAAATATGTGCAGAACAACAACGAGCTGTCAAAATCCGTTCTGATTGAGATCTGCCAGAGACAGCAAAGCATGGCAAACATGATGCAAGACGCCGAGGATGTTTTCTTTTGGACCAGGATGCTTGAGTCGTTGGAGCAGGATACCAAAGCACAAGTGATCGAAGAACTTGACGTATCAAAGGACGACGACGAAGACGACATCGAAAACGAAAAGCTCCTGGTGAAACGGAGGCGAATATCACCTAATCCCAGCCGGAGTTCCACGCCTGCCCGACGGGGTACCTGGTGACATTGACGTTGAAAGGCCGCCCGAAGCACAACATCCTTCCTCGACTTGAGGTTTTATGATGAGCACGATTTAATGAAGAGACGATTTCTACCTCGTTCGAACGTTGAGCGATCTTTGAAGGAGTTTGGTTTTCGAAAAAGAATGTGAGCGTCAATTGGCAGTCTGTACCCGCGTGGTTTTTCCCATCATCCCATGTGCTTGATATATTTATCTATCTCATTTTCAAGGAGGACAG